AGTCGACATTTATTTGATAAAATAGAGTTGTTTGTCTACTTAATGTTGTAGTTCTAATTCTTTTAAAGGTTACTTTATTGTTGGAAAAGCCACAGTATCATCTATTTTAGTTACTTTTTTTTAAGTTTGCATTTATGCAAAGGTTAAAATGAAGCCACTCTAAGCCATTGAAAAATGTGTGTGGAGTTGAGAATCATTTTCACAAAGACAGGACTTTGATCAAGAAAAGCCCAGACATATCAGGTGGACTTTTAGGAAATGTTTTCTAGTGTGCACCATAAATATTGTATGTAACAGAATTGAAAAGAGGAGAATACTTGTGACTATGAACAATATGAAAAATGAGATTGGCTTTGTAAATGATGCAAAAGCATAAGCACTGGGAGGAAATGAAACCTCAAATGCTGCTGATGGTGGATGGACAGGTGATGGTCACACAAACCTTGACTGCTTACAGTAGGAAGTATTGTAGCTTTAGACACATCACTCTGCTGGTAATGTGGCAAAAAAAAAATAAAGTAGTAGTAGTTTGGGGATACACAGCAGCTTTTAACCCTTGAAAAGTGTTGCAGTAGTTTCTGACCCCCACTCCCCCAGTCCATTTTGGAATTAGAACCTAAGCGCTGCTGTAGCAAAAGGGAATAGGGGATTCAGAGGGAAAAATCCAGACAAATGCCTATGTAGGATCAAAACTGGTGACTGGAACAATCTGCTGCAGAGGCTCAGTGTGATGGTTCTTATGGATAATCCTGTGGCTTTCAAAGGGTGCCTGATCTTAGATTTTTGTCACCATGGTGCAGATGTTAACCCAAGTAGCTATCTTTACCTTTTAGCCATGGAATATAGTATGCTTTTTGTTAAAAGAGAAGTTTTTGCTTTTAGGATATCCATTTATGAAAATTAACAGCTATGTTATATGATTTCTTTTAATTGAATGTTTTTCTTTCACGTCTAGAGGTGTGGGCAGGACCATGAATGAAAAATAGTCTCCTGTATTGCAAAACTGTTGGAATAGGAAACATCAGATTAGGAACTGACAGCATTCCCTCTGATGTCTAGATTATTTTTATCTCTGAAGAACAATAGCATAGTTTCATTTGTAACTATGCTCTGTTCTCTGAATTTCTCTTTGCTTACCATGTTCTCTTTATATCTGCACAAAATGCTTCCATGGTTCTCTTTGTGATACAGCAACAGAGAGCTATGCAAATAAACATTTTACACCAAGTTAAGTATTTTATTTATGCATGAATGAACTTCCCCCTTCAGATTTTCCTTACAACTACTGTATAAACCAAGAAAGATGTGCACAGCATACACATTTTGTACTTCGTGGCTTCTTTATTCCTATGGATAGGTTGCTAGGGTCAAATGTGTGCAAAGTTAACTTTGATAATGATAGAGCATTTTGTGTTCTGAAATCCATTACAATGTGTTGGTTGAAACTCTCCCATCAGTGCCTGCTGTTTATACTGGCCCTATGAATTTTTACTTGAATACCAGACTCGAAACCCTGGGAAAAACCAGGATCAGATTTCAGTAAAAATGTGTAATACTATACTGGAAACGACTACCTGGCATTGCAGATGGACTGAGCAGTCTCTGAGAAGAAATCTCTTGAAACCAAGACAGTTATGTTTGCTTTGGACGTTGATCTGATGGAGTTTTAAATGTGCAGTCCAGAACACAGTGCACACAGCTTTACAGAGGGGTAGCGTGTACAGAAATGTAAGTTCCTGTGGCCTTTGAAGAGCTCACAAGTCTTTCATTTCACACTACCAAAAGATCGTGGATCATTGATCCAGTTTATACTGCTCAAAAACTATTCTTCAACTTTGTTATGCTTTGTCTCCATTGTCTGCCTATATAGAAATAACATAAGGTCAGAAAATTAAATATTAAATTATATATAATGTACTTAACTATATTGATAGTTATTAATTGATATATATTAAGTGCTAAACCTTTGTTTCATGTTATTACGTGTTTTCTATGTGTTTCTTTTGCAAGATTTGACAGGCTTGTTTTGTAAAGAATCTGAAAGTCTCAGGATGTGTCTACATTAGCATTTTATTTAGATTGGGATCCCTAAGCTCCCTGAAGGAGTTGCCCCCACACTTCCCCCACTTGCTAGGCTGTAGTTTGTGTTGTGAAGCAGAGTTGGAGTGCAAGAACAGGACTGTTTTAGGAAGGTGCAATGTGGGGCTTACCTTCAGGTAAACCCTTGCTACGGTCCTGCTCTTACTTGGGGCTATACTGGAGTGAAGGGGACAATAACCCCTCTTCAAGCAGGTATGGGCTTTTGCTCCAACTGTTGGGGCTATTTGCTATTGTAGACCTAGCTATTTCCCATAAGGACCATCGGCTTTCATCTCTGTGCAGAAAAAAACATAAAACAGTGTTTCATGATGAGGCTCAGGATCTTCTCTTTGTTTGGTGCCATCACATGTGTTATCTCACATATGGTGTTCATGTGATTTCACACAATGTCAAGTAGACTTCTGTGGGAATTACAGAGCACCTGCACATAGGTATTACCAATCTGTTGTTGCTACTGTCATGAGCAAATGCTAACCTTGAGCTACCAGCATGGCCTCACAGCAGGCTTAAGTTACAGCTGTTCATGTGCTTTAAACTGTAGAAAAAAATCTGAGCAAAAATGCTTTTCTCTGAGTTTACACTGGCACTGGCAAGCTGCAGTCCCTAAAGATATCTTCAGCTTTCTTACAGCAATAGGAGAAGGGGGTTTTGCCTGACAACTTAGCTCAAATTACCTATGCCCTCTGCTTTAGCTGTTTGTTCTGTAGAAGCAGAACTATTCAAGAGCAAAAAGGTTAGCACTTAGGTGGCTAAATACCCCATTTTGCAGATACAGCAGGTAATTAAACTCTGGGCTTCCTGATATCTAGGGTGAGTGTGCAAACACCAGCCTGCCTGTGGGTGTACAGAAATTTCCTATGAAACATTAACTACAGAAGTGTCACCTATATATCCACAATTACAAATCAATCAAATTATTAAAACAAGAAAGTCCTTTTCAGTGTTTCAGAACAGTAATGTACAGTTACAGCTCCACATGTAACCCATGAAGAGCTGAGAATTTGGAAAAGCCTCCCACTGGGTGTTTTCACAAACTAAAAGATGTTTGTGAAAGATGTTTGCTTCTAAGGGGAGATCCTGGCTGAAAGTGCCCCCCCCCCAGTGCCTTCAAATGAGTATGAAATGCTAGCATACAAAAAGAGGAAACTTTATTTTCTGCGTCTGTGGGATGGTGGTGCCTGGTCAGTGCCTATTGATTTTCTGTATGTTTCCTTTTATTTTTATTTCAAGAGAAGTCAAGAAGGGGAGCGATGAGTTCTCATGCTGCTTTTAAACCAGTATCACAGTTCACTACATCACTGCTGAAATCTTATGGACACACAAGATTTGTTGGCAATAGGTGACAGATAATTTGCAGGAACAGTAGGAGGAGGTACCCTTCTCTCCTGTTTAGAAGACAACATCCAACATGACAACAGGACAGTGCATCCATCATCATGTGGTGCTTCCTCAAGGGCAGGATGGGAGATTAAATGAAGGTGACGTGGGAAGTTGAGTCCTGCCACATGGGAGTGCTTGTGGCCTTGGTTTATTGTTATAGTCAGTTAGGATTCTGATTATTAACAGTATTGTTACAAAACTGGAAGTCTTAATATGAACCCAGGGCAATCTGGCTAATTTTCCTGTCTGCAGGGGTAGGGTGCGTAAGGCACTGTCCCACTGATACAGTTGTGCCTGCACATGGAAACCTCTACTACTTTAACTGTTTACAATGATAACCTTACCTCTCCTTGAGATGATGGTAAAAGTGAGATGTAGTATAGGGTGTTACAGTCTGTTTTAGCTTCTCCAGCTGCATTTTAGTCAGGGCTTGTTTACTTGAGCTGTATATGCACTGAGCTCTTATTTTAGGTTTTATATTGTTCTTCAAAGAACTGGATTTAAAGATTAATTAGGGCGGCGGGGAGTGAGAGTTTGTGCCTGCAAGGGAAAATGTGACTGAACCTAGCATTAGAGCACTGACCTGAAAGCAGGGAGGGAGAAGGGAAGGAGAGGTTTGAGCAGCATTCATAGTGGACTTTTTCAGGAGTAAGTATAATTGCTTTCCTCAGATGAAGGAATATAATGTATATATGCTTGCTGAAGTACTATATAATTAGATTATGGGATTAGCCATAATCAGGTTTCAGCCATGTAGATGTTAACAGCTGTATCTCATCTGATTTAGCATGTATGCACATCCGGAAAGAAGGATTATCCTTCTAAATTATACTGAAGAAGAAATAGTTGTGTGGGGATTTGTCATCACTGATACACACATCGGCTGTTTTAGACTGCTGTAACAGGCCTGTTTGAACAAGGAGATTTGTCACTGTAGGTCACAGAAGCGGTATATCTGCCAAGGAGCTGCACAAGTCATCAGCCTCGTGTGAGACAGGGATTTGAACCAAATGGGGCTCCCTGATAGACCGGCATAAGCAAAGTGAGGTGGGGAGATACAGGCATTGCCAATGCCAGCTGCAGTTCCCATCATTTGGACTGGGATTTTTTTCTACATCTTGCAAAGCAACCTTTTCTCTAAAAGAAAGAAGAAATACAGAAATAAGTTATCACTACAGTAATTAGATATTTCTTACATGTATTCTGAAGCTCACAGAAGTATCAGAGAGATGTTTCAGCAGGGCCAGCGATTGGGGTGGGAAAATGATAAATCTGAAATGGTTGAAATGGTAAATAACTATTTTGAAATATTCATCTGTGGATTGAAACAAGAAGTCATTTCTTTCCTTTGCAGCAGAAAAGAGCTTTCTGCACATGTTCCTAAACTGCAGTTGTTCTCCCCTTGAACTATTGTGTGTGAAAAGGAAGCAGGTTTTTGCTGCGTTGCCCAGATGATTGCATGGGAAACAGCTTGGTTTATGGTGTAATGTTTTTGTTTAATACCTTTTTTATTCCAACAGGAAATATGGGATGTATAAAATCAAAAAGGAAAGAGAATCAGGATGGAGATGGGCTAGATTTGAAGAATCAACCAGTACGTAAAACTGAACGAACTATTTATGTGAGGGATCCAACGTCCAATAAACAGCAAAGGCCAGTAAGTAGATAGTCTCAGGGGAGAATTCCAGTAGCAAGATCAAAGCATGAGTGGCATTACTTAAATTTCAATCCAAAGCACATGCATGAAAAAATTCAACTGATCATTAGTCCACACTTGGGCTTTTAGTGTTGTGCAGTTCACCCTCAATGAATAAATACTTAAAGAAATAAAAGTAAAAATTTGTGATTTGTTACTTAATTACTTTGCAATAATTTTCTGCATGAAAACAGTAATCCTTGGCAACACTTAATGTAGACATAGGTATGACTGTAGAAGAATGCTAGGTGACATTGGAAAATGTGAAGTAGTTAGAACTGGTTTTAGAAGCAGTGTTGTTTGGGTTTTAATAGCTATGGGATCCTAGTGTTGACTATTCTGTTTAAAAAGGATGAAGTAATCATGGGTGGCCAAAGGCCACTACTTGCCCTTATACTAGGTGTGTAGGTAAGGATGGGAGGAGAGCAGAGGATGCAGTTGTGAAGGGAGCAGCATTGTGCTGCAGGACAAACAAGGCAATGCAGTTCAGTGTGTGCTGCCTGGCACTAGAAAGGAAGGGTGCCAGGAAGGGGAATCCTGTTGGGTACCAAGTGGGTTTGCTGTTTTGCAGATTGCCTGGTACCATTTTCTCCCAGCCTCTATACTGTGCTGAGGAAACCATATTTCCTGACTGTGCTTACTCAGGGTCTGTGCTGTCTGCAGGTGTGAATGACACCTTTCTCACCCATCTCACCCGCTGACACAGATGATTCAGTGTGCTCTCCAGTCAGGGTACACACATCACAAACTACCATTGTTTCTTTTTTAATCAATCTTTATTCTTGCACAGTGTTAGCAACATAACTGTGCTTGTAGCTCTTCAGCGTGGCAGCTACGTGTGTGTAACTGGCCCATTAAAGTGCCCTGTCTAAAGCCTCTTCAGCAGAAGTCATACAGCTGTTCACATCCTCCCAACAGTCTGTGTCACACCTTCCCGAGGGATGAGCTGCTCAAGTCAACATCTAGTGGGGTTTACTATATTTTTATGTTGTAATTTGCTCTTGAAGAATGGTGGGAAAAGATTGGAGCCTTTTCATTTAAGACATAGAAGATGATACCAAAGCAACTGAGTAATATGTAATTGTAATGTAAGATTGTCACAAAGATCTAAAGCTGCTTAATTAAAGATATATTTTATTGTAGGCAAATACAGAAGCACAGCTCTTACCAGGACAGAGATTTGTCAGTGAAGGTAAGTTTTCATAGGGATCTTTCTGCTGTGTGCTATGCCCATGTCAGGCTGTGAAATAATCTGAATGTGCCTTTGGCTTTCTGCCTTTGTAGAAACAGAGGAGCGTGGAGTTATTGTGATAGCTTTGTATCCCTATGATGGCCTTCATGAAGATGACTTGTCCTTCAAAAAAGGAGAAAAATTGAAAGTTATTGAGGAGTAAGTATGACAGTACTGATTGTATTGTAGTTTTTCTTTGGAGTCATCTAACACACTATATAATGTTTTGTTATCCTACTCATCACAAGTGTATGAATGGTAACGGAACTCCCTTGTATGTGAAAATACAAACGCATATGGAGCTGTTCCAGGCTGGATGGGGCTTTGAGCAACCTGGTGTGGTAGAAGTTCTCCCTGCCCATGGCAAGGGGTTGGAACCAGATGATCTTTTAGGTCCAACCCAAAGCTTTCTATGACTTGGCAGCTGCCCTTGGTAACAGCAACCGAACATTGATCTAAAGAAGCCAATGGCTGTTCAGGAGGCTTAAGTTCAGAGGAAAGATACTTCTTCTCCCTCCAGTGAGGTCAAAGCTCTCGGACAGTATAACCCAAATAACACTTTATCATTTTTCTTTCCTGACAAAACTACCCTGGTTTCCATTTTTCAGGCTGGGAGAATGGTGGAGAGCAAAATCTCTCTCAACAAGGAAGGAAGGCTTCATTCCCAGCAACTATGTAGCAAAAGTAAACACCCTGGAAACGGAAGAGTAAGTTCTCCCAGGCAAACATCTTCCTCCTGGTGGTGTATTCTTTGTGGGTGGCCAGGAGAAATGTCTCTAACTCTCTGAAATACTTCTCAGGTGGTTCTTCAAAGACGTAACCAGAAAAGATGCTGAAAGACAACTCCTGGCTCCTGGAAACAGTCCTGGAGCTTTCCTTATCAGAGAAAGTGAAACATTAAAAGGTAGGCTTTGGGGTGAGTTACTTTGGAGTTTGTAGTAGAGTTAAAAATATACTGTCTGTCTTCACAAAAGAAGGTATCAGGTGGCACTGGGTGTGGAGTAGGCCCCGTGTGTCCTATTGTGTGAATTGCCTGCAGTTCTATAGGAGTGGGAAGGATGAGAAAATCACCAGGAAGAGAGTTTCAGGTTAACACCCAAAGCTGAGGTAGGGAAAAAAAACCCTGTGTGTGATTACACTGACAAGAAGCAGGAATGAATGAAGTGGAAGACCTTTTCTCTTCCTAACAGTTGTGATTCCTTTGTTGACGGATACTTCGCTGTAAACAGTAGATGCTGCATTTCATAGTCTTCCATTATTGGATCTATATCCATTGCTACAAGTTTTACAATGTAGTTAGTGTGTAGCGAGGGTTTACTGCACTGCAGTTTGCTATTTTTCAGGAAGCACTTTGGTAAAGGTTTGTGCTGGAGACAGGGCTCTTTGTACTGGAAAGCTTAGTGAAGCCTCCAGACTCTTCACCTGGGACTTTGAGAAGAGAACAGGAGGTTCTGCCCCAGTGCTTGGACTCTGACAGCTGCCAGATTAGATTCTCCATCTGGTTACCCTAACACTGCATCCTCCAGAGGAAGATGCATGAATCCCTTCAGTGGGTCATGTGTCTGTCCTCTCCACAGTGTAGCTTTTCTGGCACTAACACTGCAGATCCTTGGTTAGGTAGCTCTCTGTGATGAGCCCATATCATTGTTTCTGTGCTCAGATTTCATTCAGATTCCTGAATTAATTTCCCAAAGGAAGACTCCCAAATTCAGCATAGGCTGCTGAGAGGAAGGCAAAGTACCCCCAGAATGTTTCTTTCTAACCCCTTCTGTCACTGTATCTGTGTGTGGTGAGAGAGAAGGTAGTGAGATGGTTTCTTATCCTTTGAAAGTGGACAAGAATTGTATGAGTAGAAGAAACGAAGAGCTCTGTGTTAAGGGTAGATGCTCTGCTGCCCCATCTTAAATTCCAGCCGGGGTTAGGCTGTCTGGGACTAAGTGATCCACTCTTCCTCCTGTGTACCTCAAACCATCTCCAAACTGTCCTTTTGCTAGTTGGCCCATGACATCCAGTGTGTTCCTATTCCGAAACGCTGATCTCCCTGAATTTCAGCCTCTGCCTGAGGCATGTGACAGCCCCAGCCTTGCTTTGCCAGCCAGTTCTTCTCGAGCTGGGGGGACTTCCCTCAGAAGCGGGCATTGGACGTGAAGCTGCCTGGATAATGGGACTCCTGAGCTTGTTGGATAAGATTGAAAAAGAAAGTGTGACAGTAAGCATTTTGGTGACCAGTTCAGGACAGGCTATTGGGTAACTTCCTCCTGTTGCTTGCAAAATGCTTTTTGAGGAAATAAAGGAGTAAAAAAACAATCCAGGGAAAAAGGTGGTTTTGTTAGGCTTGACTGTATACGCATGGACACTGTAGACTTTTGCTATCTGTTAATGATCATCCTTTCTTTATCCACAGGTAGCTATTCTCTCTCCATAAGAGACTATGATCCACAGCACGGCGATGTTATTAAGCACTACAAAATTAGGAGTCTAGACAATGGAGGATTTTACATCTCTCCAAGAATAACTTTTCCCAGCATCAATGATATGATCAAACATTATCAAAGTAAGTTAAATCAGCTAGTGAATTACTTAATAGAATACAGTCATTGTTTCCTGTGAGGGAAAAGAAATGTTTTCTTGTTTTATTTCAAACTTTTTCATCTTTTTCTTTCTAAATAAACTTGGCATGCATGTTATCAAAGATAAACTAAAACTGGAACCCAAGTAATGTTGTTATCATAATCAGACCTAATGCTGCTTACTCTGTGGCATGCTCTTGTGAAATCAAGAACAGCTTTATAAAACACCTCATCAAAGTTATGATGATATGAAGCTATAGTAAGAATTGCCTGCATTGTAAATAAATTAATTCTGCATTTGAGAGTAAATTTGTACTCACAATTAGCAGAAATACATACGCATTTGTGAATGTCATCTTTTATCTGGTGTTGAGTAGGGAATTGTTTTCATTTTCCTAGACATTTATTATTCATTTATTTATTTAAAATAGCATTTTGAAGGAAGTAAAATTCCATTAACTTTAAAGAACAAAAATTGCACCACATGAAATGTGTGCATTTATTATTTAAAAAAGGGAGAGAGGAAAGAGGAGAGACAAATTTCTACCTATGTCTTAGCTACAAAAGTGACTTTTCATTCTACATAACCTCCTGGTTGATAGATCTAAAACGTGGTGGGTTTTAGTCCTGTAACTGGGAAGGCAGAGAAGACAAAAAATTGGACAGAAAAAAAATAGGACAGAAAATCACATAGTGATGTTTTAAATCCATGCTGAGGGCTTGGCCATGAGATTTCTCTAAGTTGTTAGACAGATGTGGTGATTCTTTGGCACAGCTGGAAAACCTTGAGAATTATTCAAAATTGGTATTAAAGTTATAGCTAGTTAGTGTCTGGAGAAAAAAATAATGGTGACCTACTTCCGCTTGCATGCACATGTGTCTGAAACCGTGCTGCAAGAAAATTTAATGACAAATTCAGAGTACAGGTCCCAAGCCTGACTCCAGTGTGTGTCTTCCTTAACATACTGTCAGTAATCAGATCTTATATTGTATCTATTTGGTACAAATTAATAATTTGTTTGTAACCAGATTCATGTGACGCTTCTTTATTAAATTTGTCTCTGAATACTAGATTTCAGTTCAGAGGCTCTTAAAGTTATGTGAAAGCACCAGAAATGTTCTATTTTCATCTAAGCACCTGATTAATTTGAACATTATTTTCAGCTGGTTACTGCACCCCTGCAATGAAGTAATGGTTGCTTCAAGTTGTGAGGCACACAAGTATAATAGATTTTGTATTTTATTTTTACTTTGAAAACCAGAACAATCAGATGGCTTATGCAGAAAGTTGGAAAAAGCTTGTATTAGTCCCAAGCCTCAAAAGCCATGGGATAAAGATGCATGGGAAATTCCACGGGAGTCAATTAAATTAGTGAAGAAACTTGGAGCTGGTCAGTTTGGAGAAGTCTGGATGGGTAAGTTTATTCGTTTGAAATAAGTATTTAAATCTGCTGAAATAAGTGTCATTTCAGAGACATTCAGAAAAACAGTGGATATGAACCTGGTCTGATACACTTGTAAAACAACAAAAATACGTCCAAAATACACCTTCTGTGAGGAGAGAGGGTTCATGAGGGGGAGCATACCTGACAGAGACATGGAACAGATCGTGTAATGGATTTTTAAGGGAAAAAAATAGTAAAGACTGTAATTTAGAAGGCCAAAGACAATGTTTTTTTTTTTTTGTGTTTTGTGGGGGAAGCAGAAGGTTATAGTAAGATGTGACTCCTGATGCTCAAAATTGATGGGCCTCTCAGAACTTGGTTCAAATCAGAAAGTGGTAAAGAACATGAAATAAAAATAAATCGTGTCTTTTAGTGAACTATGTATCGAGTTTTCATTGCCTTTTGGTAAAGAAGACAATGCAACGTAATGCTTGCGATTGCCATACTGGGTGAAAAATGGAGACACTTAATCCAAGATTACTGTGTGCCAATTCGCTGCTCAGAAAGTAGGTAACACATGTAGTGAGAAGATTAGAGATTGATTACCCCCTACCTTGAATTATCATGCAAATCCCCTATTATGAAAGTGTCATAAGACTTACAAGTTTTAAATGTTAATATATACCCAGCAAGAAATGATAGAATGAATTATTATAAACGTAATTAGCTTTGTTTGCTTATAAACAGTATTTTCTCAGCCTCAGTGACTTCCTGTGGCAAGGGACTACGATCAGTGTCTAATCACATTCTGTAAATATTATATAATCCTCTTGCTTTGAAATGCTGCCTATTCTGGTATCTGAGTATTCTTTTTGGTTCTATAGTGCAAGTTCTTTGCACTATTCATCACTTACAGATTTGTTAGCAGTTACCATTTTATTTGAGGTAAACTATACCTTCCTCTCAAAGTCTTCATTAGGATGTTTTTTCAGGCCAAATAATTTTTAGCCCTTCCCTGAATGTCATTTTTTGGGTATTATATTTAAATAGTAATAAAATTGTTACAGTTATAATAATAGTGGATTACATTATTGTTGTTGTTATTATTACTATTAAGCAAGATTCTATAGGCAGGGAATTAACTTAAAAGTGAAACCCAAAGCTTACTAGAAGGTGCAAAGCTATGAAGGGGCCTCTGATGATCCACAGAAGTGCAGTAGTCTGATGGGAATGTCATTGCTTTGAAGAGATGCCCTCATTTAGAAAAGTGAATCACAGACTGGTACTGTTTGAGTGGGAAATTCTACACGCAACTACAGCTTCAATCAGAAAGCTCTAATTCAGTCATAGGTGCCATCTTTTGATATAAATCATGTAAAAAAATCAAGCAACACCACACTAGATTATTCCAAATATAATTATTCCAATTATTATAATTGTTCCAAATAAGCCAAATTCAGCCTTTTTATCTGCCTTCATGAGAAGAGGGTTAAGAAAGCCTCTAGCTAAGAGATACATGAGTGACAATTTAAATGCTAGTTAAGATGAGTGTCAGCCATTGACAGTTTTTTTTGTGTCTGATAAACCGGGGGCAAGAGAGGTTTAACTGACACTGAAACTTTGTGGCAGGAGGTAATCACCTGCTTGAAAATGTAGATCATTTTGGGAAGTGGCTACTGCACACACATACACAGGGACATAAAACTTTAAAAGGGCATTTCTGTTTCAAGATGTTTCCTCTTGTTTGTGTCATTATTTTAACATCTAAATTGGGCCTAACCCCTGCATCTGAATTGCTGCACTGTGAGAAAAATTAATGTACTGTGAAAGCGATCGCTGTGTTTCCTCTTCTCTGCTTCCTTTCTGAAGCAAGACAAGCTGATTTGCATGGCCCAGGTCCTCTCGAATCAGGAACATGGTTAATCTTAGAAGCAAGGAAGTTCAAGCTGGAAAAGACATATTAGGTCAGCTGTGCAGTGCAGGGTCTCAGCAAACACTGTATTGCAATGATCAACCAGTGGCATCAGAAATGTGGAGATACTAAGAAATAGCCTAGTTGTTATGCTCTTCTGATTAGAGAGCTAGTTGTTACATGCTGTCCTCATACAGAACAAAGTTATTTTTCAGCCATAGTGTGAATTATAGAGAAATATTGTTCCATGGCTCAATTACTAAATGAATTTCTTCTTGATAAAGGTACTTAGAATTGTGGTTTCAGTGTCACACTCAGAGGAACTGGGCTTCCCACTAAAGAGAGATATGGAGCTACTGGAGAGAATCCATCAAAGAGTAACAGATGGTTAAGGGGCTGGAGCATCTCTCCTGTGAGAAAAGGGACTGTGCAGCCTGGAGAAGAGAATGCTTGGGGAGATCTCACCAATGTATGTAAATACCAGAAGGGAGGGTGCGTAGTACAGAGACAGTCAGTGGTAGGTGATGGCTGTAGTTGGTAAAGGAGTGATGCGTTAACATGCAAGAGGATGTAGAGAAGCTGCTGTTCCTCAGTCTCTTCCCCAGCACCTCTTGAAATTGTAATGGCCTGAGACGTTTATCTGGCTTCTAACAGTGTCATTCCTCTGTAGCTCAAACAAATTGTTCCCAGTGTAACTTTGCAGGAAATTACTTCAGAAGCAAGGGAAGAGGAAGGCTGCATCTTGTAGGCTTGTTCACAAAGTGTTCACCGTCAATTCTGAAGGTCTTTTCAGAAATGACAGGCTCAACCTCATCATTGTTATAAATTCATGTCACAGCTTGGCCTGATTAAGCCCTTGCAAGAATCTGTGGGGCAACCTGGTTGTCCAAGATACTACTCTGGTGAGATAATCATAATCAACTCCAAAATAAATACCTGAAACACCAACAATTTTGGGGAGACTTCTATTCTAACATGTAGAATATGGAGAAACTGGCTTTCTGTGTGAGACACGGTCGCATTCCATTCCTCAGACTTGGGTCCTATTGCTTGCATCCCATTTAATTTTTAACAGAAGTCTAAACTGCAGAGTCTTGCTTCTTGCCATGGTATGAAAGGGTTTTTGACCATGGAGTTCAGTGCATCTGGGCAGCTTGTTTAGTGATAAGATGAACCAGAGTAGCACTGCAAGAGCAGGGTCCATGTTTTATCATTTTTGTTCCTAGTGTGCACTGATACAATGTGAACCATATGCTCTCTGGTATTAATAATCCATGAAGAGAATCCTCAAGCAGGGCTAAAAGAAAAGTTAACAAGCCAAACAGAGCCATTATGATGTATTTTATTAATGAGGCACATCTTGCTTGCATCTCACATGTAAAAGTTTCTCTCTTTTGGCAACCTCCAACTTAGAATATAAGGAATACACATTTTGGAGTTGTTTTCTTATCCAGCTGTTAGAAAAAAATAGAGAAAATGATACCACAGAAATACTTCTATGAAAAGTAATGAGATCTAAAATGAACCAAAGAAACTTAGCAGTACTTCTCATCAGTATCAGAAGTGGGTTTTTATAGTACATATGTGAGCTGAATGTTAGTTGCAAAGAATCTGAATTTAATTTCAGAAATTTTAGATGTAAGCAAGAATTTCCTTGCTTATCTGTCTTTTAAAATTCATGTCTAGGTAGCAAACTAACCATGTGTTCATCCATATCATACAGAAGGAGCACTGTGATGCAAGTGGTAGGTTTACACCCAGGGCCAGGTTCAGTTCAGCCAAAACAGACATTAGCAATGGGCTCCAAGCCTCGGGTACTGCGTGAAACAGGGGTGATGATGCAGTGCTGTGGCCACCCCTTCCCACAGCTCCCTGCCTGTCACTGGAATCCTTCTGTGATGCAGACTGAACCTTACATCTGCTGCTGGTGAAGCACTTTGAGGTCCCCAGCTTTCGCTCCACCTGCACAAAAGCTGCCGTTTCTTACCTGTACGGTGAGAGTGTGCCTGCAAAGCAGATGATCGTTATGGAATCTACCACAGAGGTTCTCACGGGAATGATAAACAACCTGGCATGAGGACTAGGACATTGTGAAGCTAGGGTGGTACAGGTGCATACTAGAGAGATGCTGCCTGCTCCGGGTCTGACATGAATCTCAGCCCAGATCAAGCTATACAGTAGTTTTGTTGGTAATGGGTGGGAGAGAGAGGTGGCAAATACCAGTTTTGCCAAACTGACAAGGGTCAGTTTTTTTACAGGTGCCATTGTATCTGCTGTTAGAGTTCGTGACCACCTTTCTTCAGTGATTTGGTGTCTCACCCCTCCCAATGCCTGGTGAAATAAATGAACATGAGAGAGATCAAGATCAATTATCTCTAGTGCTGTCATTGGTTCGTTTGCTTTGCGTGTAATCACCAGAGGATCAGGGTAGACATTTATCACAGCAGTAAACCTTAGTATTGCTGTTGCAGTAATAAAACCTTTCTGTGAATAGCACCCAAGTTTGATTGATTTCTTTTGTGAATGTAAAACACTGTTACGTAGGTTAAGTGTCTTGGTTGTAATTGCTTCGCAAAAATTGCTAGGTTCAGTAGAGTATTCAACAAATTGGGAGTGGAATTCGTGCTATGCTTTAGGGTATGGGATGGAATAGTAGTAATGATACAAATAAGCTTTCTTCTTAAGCAAAAAGAAATGCATTTAACATCTCTTTTTTTCTGATAGATGTAAACCGTATACCTGAGCTTTAACAGCACATTTGACCTGTAGTTGTCATTTCTTACTATTAGGCCATTTAGAGGCATATCTTTGCTGAGCTTTGACCTGACCACGTTTGAAAAAATAGATTTAATAATCATGCAGGTGAATGTATTGTGATAGACATAGTAGCTTTTCTCAGGTGATGATCCTCCTTTAAAAAAGGTGGTAGAAGATTGCAGTGGTCAGAGCAATCCCTGAAGATCTGGGAAAATTAGTTCCTTGCTTTCCCCCTGATTTCTTATGTTAGGATAGTAATTACTATAAAGAAATTGTGGACATTTAGAGGTATATCCCTTGTCTGGATTGTTGCTGAATAAGGAAATGAGTCATGAAATTTTTGCCTCTTCTGAGAAATAATTTTGCAATTTTGAATGGGCATGGTGGGGGACAAAAGTTGCATTTATATCCTTCTCTCTTTCTTGTTTCTTCTATTTTTTAAATTAAATGACTTCATAATATAAACTTAACAATCAGTTCTTGCTACTCCTTTTTTTATGCTCTTTAACATTTATTTAATGTTTGGAAAACATTAAATCAGAATGTAATTCACTGCTTTTTACTGGTAAGTTGCTTTTCATATAATTAGAATATTACATTAGCAGGTTTGATAAACAGAGAAATGAAGGAGCCACGGTCTTTTCCACTCTTGGCATGGGCTACGTGATAAGAAATCTCGTTTTAAATCTTGCCCTGAGCACTGCAGGATTGCAGTCCTGGCAGCATATCTTTGTTGGTCATAAGAACACTTATTTGATTGCACTTTCCTGTAATGCTTCATTTTGAGCACTGAGGGTTACAGAGAGGATTATAAGCATGAGACCAACATGCATAAAATGGCTATAATCATGGAATTTAAAATCTTGCAAGTAATCTGTGGACTCCGTTAGATTCTGGGACAAGTTAAGTGAACCTTCATTAAAACATCTTTTGACTGAATATTTTAGGGGCTACTTGTACATGAAAACTTTGTATGAAGATGATTTGCTTGCTTTATTTGTTTTGGGTTTTTTTCAGATAAATGATTTCTGGAAATGAGGAATGGATTATTTTGCACTGCAGTCTTGTATCAGTTGCAAAATAAAAAGGAATTCTAGCATAAATATTTGTGCTACATCTGGCGCTTGCTCTCAGCCTCTCAGCTATTACTGGAATCCAGCCTCAGCTGCTTTACAAATTCCTAGTGCTGTGTGGCACAGAGTGACTTGGACTGCACTGACCGTATTCCCTCCTTTTAGGTTACTATAATAATAGTACAAAAGTGGCTGTGAAGACTCTGAAGCCTGGAACGATGTCTGTGCAAGCCTTCCTGGAGGAAGCCAACCTCATGAAAACACTTCAGCACGATAAACTCGTAAGGCTTTACGCTGTAGTGACCAAAGAAGAGCCTATTTATATTATAACAGAATTCATGGCAAAAGGTGAGAAGAGTGTTGGATCTGTGAGCAGTGCTTTAGTAAACTCTTCTGCTTCTTCCAAGTTAGTCCCAGTTCTTTAAAAAGGAAGGAATAAAAAATAAAAACTTAGGATTTTAGCATTATTCTTTTGAATGCTTCAATATAAAGTGAAAGAACACCTGTCCTAGAGGAGGGGTGAGGCTTTAATTTCATGATTCATTGCTGTGGTTGTGATTGCTTAAGATGCAGAGCATAACCCCAAAATACCTCTGGTTTCTTTGGGCTCCCTACTTGACTTCTGTACCTGGAGTCATAGCAAGGCAATTAAAACAAACCTTAGAAATGGCCTTACGTGGCTCTTGAGTTGGTAAGTACATAGGTAATGTGAGTGGTGAGTGGTCCTGACAGGATGGTTGTGCTGCTAGAAAAGGACAATCTTTATTAGAGCATTACTACACAAAGTAAGTGAAGTTTCCTTCTTAGATTGTTTTGGGTGCTATATTTTCCTGGGCTGTTCTGTTTTCAAGAAATTCTGCTGCTAACTTCATAAACAAGTGTTGAGCCACTTAGTTTTTATGATGTGGAAAGGATTGATATGTGGATTCTCTTAAGACAGCTTTCCTGATAGTCTATAGACTAGGGTACTTATCAGAGTCAATACCACTGAAGTAAGGTAAGGTCTGATGAGTTTTCTACACCCAGGAAAATGGCAACACTTGGATGCCTGACATGCTGACTTGGATGCTATCGTTGTTAAACCACGTAAAGAGACTGCCTTACTGTAGTCAACTTGAAAATACATCAAAACACTTGCCTGCAAAAATTTTGTGATCAAGAAAATCGGGGACCTGGTGTGACCTTTATTTCAGTAATAAGCTGCACTGAGTTGGTCTTTCTCTGTTTTAACAGGAAGTTTGCTGGATTTTCTGAAGAGTGATGAAGGCAGTAAATTGTTGCTTCCGAAGCTGATTGATTTCTCTGCTCAGGTAAATTTTAAGAAATATGCTCAAAATGAATGGGGTTTATTTCTCTTTGAGTCTAAAACCCCAGCTGGGCAACTTTGGGGCTTTTGCATTAAAAAATATTTTAATTTTCAGATAAGTTTTGCTCTGAGAAAATAAGGTTGCTTGAAAGGAGGGAATAGATAAAATAGGTTTCAAACAAAAGATGTGAAATTAGGCTTAACTTGCTGCTGGTGACCTGCTAAAGATGCCAGTGGTACCCTGCTTAGATGGTGGTGGAAAAGCTGCTTTCAGTTCACATGGCTGTGAGTTGGAAGTGTAAGTACACATTTGTGAGTTTCTGCTTACGAGATTCCTTCAGTGTTAATAAACCACATCATTTTTACTTCTAAGGTCAATTTGTGAAACTTCTCTTAAGCTCAGAGAACTATAGGTGGGTTTCAAACTCTTAGTAAATTACCGTGAAATAAATGAGATCTAGTCAAATGATGTTTCAGAATCTTATTTACGAACCAAGAAGTTTGTTTCAAAATATACTGGTCATTCCATGTCATAAATGAAATACGTAGAGAGAGACCTCAGACTGATTTGTGTGTGTCAAAGTGTGGATCAAAAGTGTCTGGAGCCCAGTGTTCCACATCGTAGAGTTGCCAGCATTAAATGTCCAGTGAGGCATATAAGAAAGTAGAGTAAGAATTGAGCAACTTTTGCAAGCTGTAGTTCATGTTACTACTAGGCAATGAAAAGATTTCTGGTAGGTTATTGTTTCACCGACCTTTCTGGGGTTTTTATTATGCATTAGAATTTACAGACTGTTGTACCCTATAACTAACTTGTTATAATCCATGGCGAAAGATGAGAAAACTTTGAAAGCATGTAAAAAAACACTAGGGATTTATAAAAGAAAAATCACTATATTATGTAGTTGTTTAATATAACTATTGCTATATAAGTGAATAGAAGATTAGATATTAGGAAACATTTCTTTACAGAGAGAATGGTGAAACACTGGAACAGGCTTCCTAGAGAGGTAATTGATGTCCCAAACCTGTCAGTGTTTAAGAGGCATTTGGACGATGCTTTTAACAGCATGCTTTAACTTTTGGTTAAAGTGGCTTGAAGCGGTCAAGCGGTTGGACCAGATGATTGCTGGAGGGTCTTTCCAACTGAAACTCTTCTATTCCATGGGATATGTACCCAAAGAGCTCCCAGTTCTTCTTTTCACAGTTCTTAAAATCATATTTGCTTCTGTTTGATGAGATCTGCTGAAAAAGTATGGTGCAAATTCAGTGAACCTTTTGCATGTATAAACTCTTCCTGCTGCTTTTGCAAATTTGTTAGCTACGTCTGCCGTGTAGCACACACATGCCTGGTGGTTGTGGTTAGGAAGATGATACGAGCTGTTGCTGAGCATACTCGTAACTTTCAAACCATCTCTAAGTAATCACTTTTACAGGATTTTGGTTTAAAATAGAGCAGGAGGGGATTGGAGAGCCTAGTTGTTTCTCAATGTTTCAGGAATTGTAGTCACACCCTGTTGTTCTTTCCCCAGAGTGCACTTCATTTGTAACCAAATAAAAACTAGGCACAACTTAAATACTGATTCAGCACTTATATTTTTTCCTCATTTTGCCTGCCTAATTTTGCAGGCAAGTCAGGATGTGTGGATTTGGATTTACTGACAGTTTCCAGGTGCCTCATAAACCACTCATACGCACTTGAACTGTCCTAACCCACTTCTTTCCCTTTTCCACCCTGTTTTTGCGCCTTTGTCACTCACATTAACCATGCGTGCATCCTTGGCCCTTTCAGTAGAGACAGAAGCAAAGGCAGGCATTTAAAAACTTTGCCGTAGTATTTGTATGTAGTCTTCTCCATCTGTTTTATGTGAATGTTTTCCTTGGTCTTGTCCTGTTACTAATGAATCCCCACTTATACTTACAATTTGTAGCACTTTTTTTGTGGGTAGGTCTTATGATTTCTGTCATATTGGGGTATTTTTTTTATACTTTGTAATTTGTCTTTGTTGTACTGGAGTGTTTCTGGCCAGGTATGATTTGGCCACGTTTCTCTCATGAAGCACTGTCTTTATGGTGTGATTGCCCTTGCACTTAATAATTGTGGGGTTTTGCTGGTTGCTTGTTCCTGAAGCTCTTACCCCATGAGGCTGCACTTGTCAGCCCTTCAGGTTGTTTAAAACTTGCTTTCCTTCAAACAAACAAACAAACAAACATACATAACAAGAAAACTTCATATTTTGCCATCATTTCATTTCCTTTCATTTTCATTCCACTCTTTTTCATGATCCTTGTCATTTATTTTTTCTTCTTAACATGACATATGTTCTCAGCATGATGTAAAAATATCCTATTAGGTTGACCTTAAGCAAACCCATCTGGCTTCTTTAGTACTCCACATTTTTGCACACAGCCTGGAAACGCACAGTGGACTCAATTACACCTGTTGCTGTAAACCTCTTTCTGCATGGAGAAACAGCAATGCAAACTGTCTGTAAAACATGGTTGGTTTGTGATAACTCTTGCAAAAGAGGATCACAGACCTTGGAATGGAAGTCGAAATCAAGCACGGTTTTGAGTTTAAAAATGGAGCTATGAAGGAAGCCAGAAATTCTCTGGTTTTATAGCAAAAAAAAAGAAGCAAACCCAAATCAAAACAGAAGCTGGATGTCACCTTCTGAAAGCACAGGACTGCCCATTTCTCTGTGTGCTGTTCAGCATTAGCTGTGATGTTTCACCAAGGACATCTGTGAGCTGGAACCAAGTACTTTTGCTTTTCAGAAGGTGCAGCTCTTCCTTGTCCTTAGGCAGTCCTATTCTGAAATGGCAACTTATTAGGTTCTCCCCTCCCTGCTTCAAAGTCCTTTGCTGCTTTCTCCAAAGACCTTCAGAAGCTACAAAAAGTGGTTCTGAAAGCAGGGAACGCATGTTTTCAAAGCCACACTGCTTGCTCCATGATTTTGTTACCATTTTCTTTCAGGAATTTTCAAGAGTTTTATACCTGTTTGTGAAATGACCCACAAGTATTCCAGCAAGTTAAGTAATTACCCTGTTTTATAGATAGGAAGAGCAGAAACAGAGAGGAAGGAGCACTGCCGGCTGAAACCATGCCCCAAATGGGTGACAGAGCTGCGTGCAGAACTGCAGCTCCAAGTCATCATTCACTTGGAATGTGACTTTCAGCCTGCAGTATGGAGGCTGACTTACGGAGTCATTTATTTCTTCCAGAAGACTTTTCTTGCATTCTTACCCTGTTTCCAGTATTCAGAGATTTGGTGGTTGGTTGTTTTTGAAAGGATTTAACTTGGGTATTTCTGGAAGCGTGTCAGTACTTCATTAAAGGTGAAGGGGAAACTGCTCCCTTCTTGGTAGTAACACTTGTGCAGTGTAGGCAGAATCTTCTCTTAAAGGACACAAAACAGATTCCAGAAGCCCAAATTACCTTACCCATCCTGTTCCTGAGTAGTAACTACATGTAGCCGAACAGTCTTGACAGGTACCAATGATCATTAACAGAAAAGGGAAAAGGCTTTCTTTTGTTTCCGTGAATTTCTCTACCTTTAATATATCATTTGGCAATGAAAACCCAACAATTATAACAAAGAGTCATCACATGGGCTTTGGCACCAATTCCCTTGATTAAAAAAAATCTTCTTTTCTTTCTTTCTTTTCCCACAAGCAAAGGTTTAATGTGTGAATTGAGTTGTCCAGTTGCTGTGTTTCCACTCCTTGTCCCATTCAAAATTCCTTGCCCATTATTCTTTTCCTACTGGGGAATTTTTTGTATGCCCAGATGCTGGCACATACGTGGCTTCTTTGAATTTCTCTGATTCAGTGCAGTCAAAGCCATTGTCCTGGCGTTTCACGGAAATGTAGTCTGTATTTGCTGAAAACTTACTGATTGCTTGATGTTGCATTCTTCGTTTGTGACTAATCAGATGGTGAGTTCTGTGAGTCTGGCACAAGTAAGAGGAAATAAAATGGTCTTTCCTATGGCTTTGCTTGGTTGGGCTTGGAAACTAAATACTGCTATCACAAATGTCTCTTTTGTGAAGTGAATGTCTCCCCAGACAGCAATTTGCCCAAATGTTAAATCCATGCAAAGAAGTAGGAGGAAAGTTGATTTCTTTGTGATGGGTGATGTGGTTTTGGTGATACTAGTGGACCTGTCTGCATTTTGATCATATCTGCCAAGCTGGTTAGTTCAATCTCAGCACTGATCTTGCAGCAAAACCTTCTCTTTCATCCCTTATTCCTTCCCAGTAGTGGCATGGGGAGGAGAGAGAAGCTAAAGTAGGCTCTGAATCGAATACTACTCTTCTATTTTGTCTGTAAGTCTTTAGTAAGACCCTATGTGGCAATTTTTCAGTAGTAGTTGCTTCCTGCATTATGAAAAGTCTTATTTGTAGAAAAAGTGAAATGCAGGTGTTCTTCATTCCCTTCATCATCAGGGTTGCTCTTTGATTTAGTGTGAGACACCCCACACACCTACCCCCCCCCCCCCCCATCCCTACCCCCCACACACATTGTATAAGGGCAGTGTAGCAGTCTGCTCTGAAGAATATATCAGTTTATAAGAAGAGGTTTGCAGTGAAGGAGGTGGGAGGGCAAGTGGCTCTATTTTTCCATTGCCTAAACCAAAAAAGAGGAACGAAGACCTCACACACAAACGTGTGGTTTGTGTTGTAAGTGGTGGCAGTGTGTGCCTTCACAGGGGACCTTCCTCAGGGACCTTTTAAAAATGGGTAAGCAGAAGTGATGTTAATGTTTTCTTAAGGTTCAGTCAGGTGCCCCTGCCTGCTTTACTGCATGGCTAAAACAAGCACCTCTGGAGCTGAGAAGGTGTCCATGCACTTGCCTTCTCCTGAGGTGGAGAGAGCCCATGTATGAGTGTGCCAGGGACTGGCACTGGAGGAGGACCCTTCCTGCTTTACTGGTGCTTTGTTAGCAAACCTGAGAGCTTGTGCATTCCCCAAATCATGAGGCCATGAGTGAGATCTCTGTCACCCACAGACATCCTGGAGAGGTACCTTTGGCACAGGTTGGACCACGGCCCTGCCTGGGAATGACCCAGCACTAGTCTCACAAGGAAGAGAAAAACTGGCAGCTCACAAGCACGGGGTTTATTTTCCCTTTTTCCTAGCTCCTCTTTTGGTCAGAACACCATCTACACATCAGTTTTATTGCTCTGAGTTCAGAAACTATTATTTCAGTTTCTCTTTTTTTCTGAAAAGTAAAGCGGCAGCCTGAGCAAATACTGGGGAAAAGATCATCCCCAGTGCATATTTTGAGGACATTAATCATCTTTAATTTGGTTTGGAAATCAATTTGGGCTGCTGAAAGACAAATTAAATTTACTTATGATAGTGTCTGAGAGCTGGCTGTTGTTAAACACTCCTCGTTACATGTTGTTGTAGAAGAAAATAAAGTTGTTTGACCTCTCTTAGTAATTGTTTCCTGATTGTAGAGGCCTATTCTGAGTAAATAGAATGTTGTGTTTTTTTTTTTACCTTATCTGCACTGTTGTTTTGTCAGTCCTTAAAAGAACATCTGTACCTTGTTTGACTTACTAATTCCTTATATTTTCTTAGAAATTGGAAAGAAAACTCAATAATTTGGAAAAGAAAATATTTTAGTAGAAATCTCAGGAACATTTTAATTAAGATTTTGTTTCAGGAAATATGTCTAGCACATGTCTCTGATCTTGCCAGCTGTTATTCACCCAAACAATTTTTTGGAAGCTGCTACTTAAGTATAGTATTGCAGGACTGGATCTACATGTAGGTTTTCCCTGGCAATCTCCCATTCCTTGCTTCCATCTGAAAAATGCTCCAAAGACAGAGGTAATGAATAAATGGATATGGCTTTGCTGATACCTTGAAAGAACAAAGAGACCCGCTGATGTGTTTGTGTGGTGTTAAAATATCAAAATACTTGGTTTTTGGTAACAGATTGCAGAAGGGATGGCATACATTGAAAGAAAAAATTATATCCATCGAGATTTGAGAGCAGCGAATGTTCTGGTTTCGGACTTACTGATGTGCAAAATTGCTGATTTTGGGCTAGCGAGAGTCATCGAAGACAATGAATACACAGCAAGGGAAGGTATGTACTTTTGTTTTCGTCTTTAAAACTTCAGCTTCTGGGAGGCAGTGGGGATGGATCCAACAATAATATGGTCACCAAGGACAGAAAACGCTGTAGCAACTTCCTGGAGGCACCATTCTAATGCCAGCAACTTTTAAAAAAAATAAGGAAACAAGCAACCTGTCTGTGCTCCCCAGGCTTTTTGAAAAGTTTGTTTGAAATAAATCTGAAGAATGAAGAAAATTAAAAAAAAATACTTATTAAAGTTTAAAAAAAAAAAACTTAACTTCAATCAGTTTTCTCTAAATTGCACAAATTATTTGCACAGCCACAGCTTCCACCCCTCTGAATTAAATGCCAAGAAAATACGTTCATATTTTCTCATCACATCCTGAAGTGCCATACACGCCTCCTTTCACTTGGAGAAAGGAAGAAGCCCTAGCAGGTGTGGTTGCTGGTAACAAGGAAACCTTTAGCAGATCTGGTTATCTTTTGAAGCTGCTTTAGGAGCTGCAGCATTGATTTGCATGTTCAGCAGCACTGAACAGTGTAGGGACGCTGGAAACCTGGGTCCTGTTCGGCACATGGGTGGGAGGTAACATTGCAGCAGGGTCAGGACTGGCAAGAGGGGAAATTGTGATATTAAAGATATTTGTCTAGGTTTTGCCAGGTGTGTTTTGCTAATTTGGCCAAGGATCCTTTTAAGAAGTGAGTAGTCAACTTGTAGTGAAAAGTTTTTATTTATGCTTCCATGCGCAGATTGCATTCTGGTAACTTTGCAGAGCAGGTTTGTTGCCTGGCTTTCCCCCTCTTGTTTTAAAGACACTACCTCATATTTTTACACAGTCTGGATGGAAACTGTGGTCATGTAGGACGAAAGGGGGGAGAACTAAGGTATGAGGAAGAAAGTGAACAGTGCATTGCAGTTGAGATTAAAGGAAGGTGAGCTGTTCAGCAGTCACTGAGTAACAGTAGTTCAATAGAACAGATGGAGGGGTCTCATAAAGCAGTTTTCAGAGGTAGAGAACCCGTATCTGTGTTTTTTAGCTAGCTTTGGACATTCTGTATTGATTAAATGAACCTTTCTGGTTATAAATTCTTTATGCCAAGTTTCTTTGATGTGTTTTCTGCCATTCAGAAAAGTTTCCTAGCTTACCTGGTATTTTGCATCAAAATGATAGAGCAGACTAAAAAAGGCAGAGAGACAATCTGTTTGTATTTACTTTTCATGGTCTGAAGAGCTAACATATTTCCCAGTAAAGGTTGCTTGAACTTTTCTTATTTAACTGTAAGGAGTTTGCTTTTATATGCGATTTTCTGGAATCAGTTAATTAGACATGAAAGACAATATTTAAAGGTATGACTTCTTAAGCTATCATTTGCTACTGCCTTTGCACCTATGGCTGAATGTGAAATGTGCTGGGGTATGTGGAAGCTAGACTGACTTTCTTTAAAATAGGAAAAGGTAGTTAAAGTCTTGCAAAGTTCCAGGTGATGGGAATTGTAAGATTGTTGCCTGACCACTGGTCAGAAGGGAAAATGGTGACTAATTTTAGCATAAATTCACCATACCTTAGAGTTAAAAGGTGCTACGTAACATTTGGCATCTTATTTGCATCTCTGACACAGGACATGCAGGGTGGCAACGCGTATCCTGCAGTACATCTCTGCTGATAACTCTTGGATAGAAGGAGTTGCTGGGAACTTTGCTAATTTAGGGGTATCATAGGCAAGTCATTTAAGACATATTAGTGACTTGATATGGAGTGTTTACATTTGCCTTTGACTGATTGAGACTGTAATCTTTTTTGGTTTAGGTGCAAAATTCCCTATTAAATGGACAGCACCAGAGGCAATTAACTATGGATCTTTCACTATTAAATCGGATGTGTGGTCGTTTGGGATCCTCCTGTATGAAATCATTACATACGGAAAGATTCCTTATCCAGGTATGGGCGTGTGTTTATACCATTACTCTGTATGTACACTTTGGTGTTAAAAAGCAAAGAAAAATATACAAGGAAAGAGCTGGCAGCCGACAGTAGCAACAGCAGTGATCTGGAAAATGTCTTGCCAGTTTGAAGAACTTTGCTTTGAAAAATTATAGTCACCATATGTATGACTCTGGGGTAAATGTTAGCAAACAGACTAAAGGCACCATGAACATGTAGTTATTTTTATATATTCAGAAGGGGTTAAAACCACAGTGAATACAGCATTGTCACAGATCCCACCTTTACGGTCCACAGCACAGTCCCACAGCAAGGATGCAGTGCTACAGGTTCTAATGGTGCTGCATATGCTGCTGGGGTTTTAAATATTGTAGTATGTGAAACTACTAAGAGAGCATGTTTTCACAAGCAAATAGGCTGTTAGCTAAACAAACAAATATGAAAGCAGACCCTGAAGTAGTGTTGATGTACTGCTTGGAATATTTACTCTTCGTTGCTCCATACAGTTCAGGTATGAGAGCACAGTACATCATCTGTGACTGCTGCATTAGGTAGCTGGGAAGTGGTTACGTGCTTCCTGTTTCATTTTTTCTGCATCCTGAACAGCCAGAGACAGCAGAGGGGCAGATCTGAGTCCCTGAATGGACAGCAGGCTCACCCCCTGGGTACAGAGAGACAAGAGACTCAGGCAGAGGAGAAAGGGTGATGGTGGCCAACTTTATGTTATGGAAGAACATACCAACTTCCCATACAAGAGCTAGAGCCAAACCAGACATCCTCATTGTTCAGTAAGGTTCTAGTCCAGGAGAGCACTTAAGCTCAAGAGTAGCCCGTTTTGACTTCAAGAGGTGATAGGGCTGCTTGGACGGCAAAGTGTTCAAATATATGCTCTGGGCTGGCTTTTAGGTAAGGGCTATAAAATATGTGACTGAGTAGTTGGTCCTCGCAAAGTGTTCTAAACACTGCTCATGTCCCCAGGAAGGATCAGATAGGAATTGTATGCAGCCAAGTAATGCAAGGTTCTTCCCACAGGTGGGATACATGCTAATGGGAAAAAAAGTGCCTGTGTACCCAGACAGTGTCCTATGCTGAGCTGGGCTCACAAGGTTATTTCTGGGTGCCTTGAATATTGTCCTTCCCTGAGCAAACCTATGGGCTCACCTGGAAACCAGCACTACAAACCACAAACTCCAACACCATATTTTCATTTTAAGTACAAAATCAGTCAATACAGCAGACATGGTATTGCTGTACTACTGTGGGAAAATATCTGTTCTAAAGGAAGTCTGGGCAGTACTTTTCATAAGTATGAGAGCATTTTTAGGAGCACCATAAATAGGCCAGACACTGTGGATTTATTTGTCAACCAGCAATTAGAAGTTCAAGCCTCTTGACTGCATACTGGAAGATTTCAATAGTTTGCAAGCATTGCTCGCATTAAACTGGAAGAGGAATATATGTCTATTTTAAATAGAAGTATAAATTGGAACAGCCTATTAGACTGAAAGTTGATACTGAAGAATCAGAATAGCAGAATAAATGGGTGACCAATTTACCTTACATGAAGAAATGTGACAGGCTTGGGAAAATTACGCAGACGTGGCAAGAGTAACTCTCTGTCTCAGTATGCATAGTCTGCAGCAAGCAGGTGAGAAGCTCTGCAGGTAGAGACAAAGGTTGATGCCAGGGTGGGCTGTTGCTGTGAATCTCACCACCACTGGAAGCAGAACAAATGGTAGCAGGACTGGTTACAGAAACAGAATGAAGCTCGTTCTGGAGACAAGAATTGCTATCTCTCCCACAGTCATGTTAGTCTTGGCACAAAAGAGGTCACTGCACTCAACTGGGGAAATAGAAATCTTCCCCCCAGGATTTTCAGAGCAAGTTCCTCGGTACCGGTGCACACCTCAGCCTTGTTATTGAACTCATATTAGTAACTACCTCTAACAAGTAGCAATATTCTTGTCTTATGGTGAAGATCTTTAGAATTAAGTAGATAAAAAAGAAAAAAAAAAATTCTTTAGGAATTTAGATCATTTAATGAAAACTTTTTTTTTTTTTTGTTGAAGGCATGAGCAATTCGGATGTGATGGTTGCTCTTCAGCGTGGGTACCGAATGCCACGCATGGAAACCTGTCCAGCTGAGCTTTACGATATCATGAAAACATGCTGGAAAGATAAAGCAGAAGAGAGGCCAACATTTGATTATCTACAGAGTGTGCTTGGTGACTTCTACACAGCAACAGAAGGGCAGTATCAACAACAACCATAGAGCAAAGAACACTTTTTCTGTTGACATGGATCATAGGCACAGACTGCTATTTGGACAGACTGCTCAAACCAATTACTTCACAAGTCCGGATGTCTTAACTGAGTGTGGAAGTTGAAATGCTGAAGGAAAGAGTAATTCTGCAGAGAAAAAATAGTATTTTTATTTGGTTAGAACAGTTCCTCTAAAGCCTGAAGTTCTCCTTAAATGCTCTGTGTTCGGCATCTGCAGAATCATCCCAAAGGAAGAGGGCTTTTTGGGGTGGGGAGGGAGAAGGAAGGAAAGCCATCATGCACTGGTACAGTTTGCCAGTACCTTCTTGGAATCTAAGTTATGCAATACGTTACTAAGAGACCTCTATAAATGGGGCAAGAAGATGCCTGAACAGCTGTTTTCAAAAGAAAAAGTCATGAAGGAGAACTTGGAGATTTAAGACATGGTGATGTTCATAAATCATCCTTTTTGAAATGCAGCATCTTGTGAAAATTATTTTTATATCTGTTATCATTGTTATTTCACATTAATATCTGGAGTACTGTCACCTCTTGTAAGACTTTCTGAATGGTGTCATGGTTTCCTTTAAGGAAAGGTGATGTATGTAATTCTTTACACCGAAGATGATTCTGTTTTACTGCTGTATTACTCATACGAGGTTTAAAATCATTCTCAAAGCATCACACAGCCATTACAGCTGCAGAAGTGCAACATGAACACACAAGACAGCAGGAGCAGCAGCACGCCTAGGACTGTGTTGAAAGTCATCATCCGAAGTCCATGGCAAAGCACAGGATTTTGAAGGAAATTGATACTTTCATTGCAGTCACTGAGACTGTTACCAGTGAAAATATTTTAATCTTAATTTTAACCCTCTGTGGTTATTCAAGACTATTCCTTATATTTTTGCTGCTTTAATCAACTAACTTCAAAATGTGTTTTAAAGCTAAAACTAGCTCTAGTCCTGTCAGAAACAACTTGTGGAAACACACTATAGGATGTCAAGTTACACTGCAGTGACACTATAGGTGTGTTGCTATCTAAGTCCAGTTCCTAAAAGTGAATGCTGTTTGCTAAGCTTTACCTATAGAGGTGTTCTATCAAGTTACTTTCCAAAACAGCTGAGCTAGTGCAATTGCAATGTAACTATTGCATAGCTTCCTTTTTTGTGACACCCCAAGTGACACTGGTTCTTACAATTGAAACCCAGTAGATTTTTGCCACCCCTCCACCCAATTGTTCAGGCAAATGGTACTTTGCAGAAGCTTAAAACCTTTTTGAGCCTTAGTGTGCCTATAACGAGCAGCATAAATATTCATGCTTTTCTTTTCCATTGGTTTCATTCAAACTGTGCAGTTTAAGCAGACTATCAGTTAAATATTGTAAATAGTTTCTATTGTATGGTGATTTTTAGTTTTAATAAACACTTAATCTGAAGCAAGTTGTATGGCAGTAATTTGAAATTAAACGAATTGCTGATGTTCTATCCATAGTGGTAGCTTCATATGGAACAGGTGAACATCTGTTCATCACCACTAACACGATTAAGGGATTCTGCTTTCCTTATGCCTATTCAGCTTTGAGAAGCTGAAAAGGACCAAACCAGCTATTTCTGCATCCCTGTTAGGGTTTCTGCTTGATCGGGAGGGCAGAAAGAGACAAAGTCAGTCCTCAGCCATCTTTTAAAAGAGCTTCTCAAAAGTCTTTAATGTAATACCAACACAGTTCACCGCAATGCTCTGGAAAACATTAGTTAAGAATTGCCCAGTCCTTCATTACAGGCTTTTAAACTACCATAACCTTGTCTTTCAAGCCATTTCCTGTAGCCAACCAAAAGCACTGGGAAGTAGGGTGGAACAGTTGCTCTGAGAATAAGAGACTACAGTTAGCATTACATAAAGTTGCTAACATTCACTTGTCTGAGATGGTTGTCAGACTGTCAAGGTGTAGCAGTAGAACATCTGAAATGGTGTTGCAGAAGGTTTTCCAGCCTTAGCCTGTTCCGATTTAGGGATTTTTAATTTGTTTGAATATTGCTGGTGTTTGTACAAATTGCTCAAAAAAGCTTTCTTATTCAAGGGAACTCCACTCAGTGTATTGTATAACTACACCAAAATATTAATAGTTGGAATACTCTGTGTGGGAGCAGAATATTACTTTAGACATTCTACCCTGGAGGGATTATAGGCCTGTAGAACTACTGGAGCCAGATAAGCTGTGTTTAACAGAAACCATTCAAAACATGAGAATAGCACTGGCTCAAGTGCTACATCTCCAGCCTGGTTAAAGACATGTCAGAGTGATGACTTATCACTGCATTTACACAAACCAGCCCAAAACTCAGAAGTCCTGGCAAGAGCACTCACACCAGCGAAAGGTTGTTCTCAGTGTTGCACAGGAAGCCTGCACCACCTAGCGTCTTCACAGGGAGGGCGAGGTTCTTGCTCTGAACTGGGTCCCCTTCCACTACGAGGAACAGCTTTACAGGGACTGATCAACCCCGTTTATTTATGGATTCTGTCTTGTTCTAAAGCAATCCTCCAGCACTAACAGGCATGGTATTTTCACAGTAGTTAGGAAAAACTTTCACCTTCGCTGAACTGAAATAGCTTTAAGAAAGGTACTTCATCATGCTCCAGTCTTCCTTCCTTGAGTTACTAGGTAAGTCATATAACCAGGGCTATGATTCTTTCAACTCAAGAGCATGCCAATCACTATGATCACTTGGCCTCAAAACTTATAATCTGCTCTTTACCTTCATTTCACTGATTTTCTCACCTTCACAAAATGAACAGTCAGAGCTTAATTTAGCAATGTAAAAATTTATTATAAATAACTTTTTCAAAACTTAGTGCTTATTCTTACTTAAATTCAAATTATATTAAAACAAGTTCCTTTACAATGCTGAGCTAGCCAGAAAACAGCAAGCACCCAGATAAACCTCACTTTGTTGCCTCTTCTAGCAGTTTGCTCAGTTTGGTCCCAAGATGGCATTCTCCATGTCAAACCCCGAAAATTAACTGAAAAAAACCCAGCTATTTTAACTATTTGAGATTATGTTTACAAGCCTTCTGATTTCTAGGAATCAACAATGAAAGGAAATAGTTAGTTTGAAATGGTAACAAGCAGAAGATGAACATCCCACTTTGCATAAATCACACATTTACCAGTATAGAAGACCATGATAGAAGTTCAAGCAGCTCAAGAATTAAAATTACGTATTTATTTCCCAAATCACATCCCTGTATCTACATTAAAAACACAAGTTTAGATATAACCTTACATAGCTCTAAATTCAATACTGATTCAAAGAGTTCTGTATTAACATTTTTCTGTCAGTTAACACAACAGTGAAGATGGCGTCCACAAGTGAGATGTTACCAACAGTTTAAGATAAAGAAGCCCTGTAACTGCACACTTTGATTAATCAAATATTAGTCCTTTGCTTTATGAGCCAACAGTACATGTTTTCCTGAAGAGGATGAAACACCTTCATACTTCCCCCAGCCTTTACCAAGAGGTGTAATAGCAGTGGCTGCTACTGTGGATTTCAGGTTAGCCAACAAACCTTTCCTGGGCTTTTGTTGTTTTGGCTCCTCCTTAGAGAAATGCTTTTTCTGTTCGTCAAGTTCTTTTTGAAGGGAAGACACTGTTTCTTCCAGCTCAAGAACACGTTTAGCCCAGTTCTGAAGACTAATCATTTCTTGATCCTATGAGGATAGGTCTGTGTTAGGTATATGAACACTCCAGAGTCTTTTTCATGAGGTTAATTTTCTGTTTCAGATTATTTTATTATGCCAGTAAAGACACTTGTTATTACTATTCCAAATAGCTACTCAGTACCCATTTCTTCTGAATTACTTTTATGTAATTTAGAGAAAAAACAAGCTACTGGGCCATCATATATAGTTAGAGACCAAGTCTGGCTAAGAAGCTGGTGATAAAATGCTTGGCCACACTCTGCAAAGATTTGCTGTTGTTCTAACAACCAAATAAAGGAGGCTTTCCTAGCTTGCCCTGCTATTACTAAAAGCAAAACTGGTCAAATCAAAACTCTTATCATAGTCATAAGTCTACTAACCAGATCTGAATAAATGCTTTGAATAGGCAGAACAGAGTCTCAAACATGCTCTTTAATCCTTACAGTTAACAAAAAGTCATCTTCCTATGTCTTAGAACCAACTAAGAAAGTTCAAGATGAATAATTTTCAGCCTCAGACTAAAAATCATGCAGAAGGTAATTTAATGTTCAAGAGAAAAATATCACTAAGCAGCCTTATACTTGGCCTTGCTTCATTTGCAGACTTATGTAGGTATATAGTGTCAAGAGTTCAAAATTTTCATTTTATTTAGAAATCTAGTTGATATTTGAGGTCAGACATTGTCAGCTTTATGAAGTCCCTACTTTTGAAGGAAAAAATTCTTCTTTTTCAGTATTAAGTAGTTTACCTGCCCATTATCTTATCCAGCTCAGCTACCTCTGCAGGTGACTAGCGCTATAGCTTTGAAGCTCTAGTCCTCAGGTCTTGTTGCACAAGCGTTTACCCACTGACACCTTGCTTGCCATCAGCAAAACGCTTCACAGCTAGAGTTCCAAGTATTTTCTTTGCTTGGCAGTTATTTGTGACACCTTTAGATTAGCAGGAATTGTTGGCACAGAGTTACCCTATTGTCTGTCTATCGTTTAAGCTGAAAAGCAAGTCTTGTCTTACAAGATACAAAGTCAAGGAGTGAAACACAAAGGCTCTGACCTCATCAGTCAGGAAGTTAGGGACAGAAAAAAAATTACATCAAAAGAAATTACTAAGATGAATGGTGTTTTTACACAAAGATGAGAAGCATCCAGTACAACTATAGATACAAGTAATATTAAAGTTGCTTTTAAATTGCTGACAAACCTTGAGCATGATTGTATGCTTCAGCTGACTGTTCTCTTCTGCCATTTTTCTGTAGTTTGCATTAGCTTCTAGCAGAGTTTCATTTAATTTCTGTATTTTTAACTTCAGAGATTTTATAAGCTGAAAATAAAACACACACACACACACTGCAGTTCAAGACTGTTATGACTAGAACTCATACAGACACTGTAAGAATTTCTAATTAATACTGAGCAGTGCAAACTGCAAGATTAAAGCAATGAGGATGAAGTCTGCTTCTCTCAGTCTCCTATGTCTCAACCTATCGTGTCTGGTGACAGAATACAGCTGGAGCATTAAAAGGCTATTGTGCTTAAGCTACTGGGTTTACACAGACCTATCAATTAAAGACCAGCAGCACAGACTAACCTATTTCTAGAACAGTCTGCTCCTTTTCAGTAAGGGTAGTTAAAAAGAACACTCATCTTATTAAAGCTATTCATATAATGAACTGAAGCACAGTTGCAACAGAAAACATCACCTTTCTGATGGGAATATTGATGGATTAAGTCCTGAGAGGGAAAAGAAACTCTGAACTAGCAAAATTAAAGTTTTATGATTAATTTTCTTCTCCAAGGTTGGAGGGAAAATATCTATAGATTGCTAAAACAAACCCAAACCATACCCTTTGCTCATGTTTAAAGGCTGAATGGCAAGAAAAAAAAGTAGTGAATTACTAATCACATATTCACAGGTACATAAGGCAAAGAAGCAGAAGGGCAATGATGGAACCAACTGCTTTAAAATGCTCTCGCTTCAGTTATTGCCAGGCAGCAAACCCATCATTATAGCACTTTCTAGCCACACAGTCAATACAGTATCCCCATATCAAGCATAAGAGCCAAACTTTCATCGAAATCCAGAATTGACAAAGGAAATGGAAAAGGATGTGAGCTCTCAAGAACATGAGCGGAAAACAAATGTCAGGGCCATAACACGAGACATTAAACTCCGTGAGGAAAAAGATATTTTTGGAGAACACTTTCTCAATAGAAAAGGATTTAAGTTCACTTTCCATTTACATGGTTTATTAGAACCAGCTGTAACTATTTCTCCAACCCCAACCCCATTTGTTACTAGTAAAAGGAGCAAGGCTTGTCTCTTCCCTCCTCTCCATCCTCTTTAAACACAGGAAACTAACTGTAGCTTTACAAGTTCATTCAAGGTAACAACCAAAAATGAATACCTAAAAAGATTTAATTTTTTTCCCCATAACACAGCCTGAAGCTTATAATTTCCACCGCTATACACTATTCAGAACGCCGAGAGCTTACTTGTTTGAGAAACAGAGACGTTACCCTTTACTTCAGTTTAAGTGGTTAGCAGAGTTCAGTACTTGCAGAAGCTATTGGTTCAAGGCACTATTTTGGCTCTAGATCTAAACTGTTACCACATTCTGCTTTTGTTCCCCCGGGCATGAGCAGGCAGCATTTCAGGAAGGAAAGCACTGAGGCCATGACAGCAATGTTTACAACAAATTCCAATACAAGGCTACATACTTCCCTAGTTCCAACTCGCATC